CTTCAGTAATTTGAAGATTTCTTCGTGCGATTCTAGTTTACATTTTATCAAAGCGTATTTTAATATAGACACCACCGTACCATTTTACTGGTGGTAGGACTTCTTGTGAGTCCGCGCGGGTAGGTACCACCACCCTGCCTATTTCTGCCGTGAAGCAGTAATGCGTTTCGGTTTGAAGGGTGGGGCAGCCGTTGTAACTATACTTGAGACCTTAGAACTTATAACTCAAGTTGGGAGGCGCATTTACGTTGTAGATGTCTATGGGCTCCAGTAACCACTTAACAACAGGTGGGCTGTGAGCTCGTCCACTCATCTAAGCAATAAAAAATAAATAAATAAAAATGAAAATTATAAAGTACCTACTATAAAAATCGGACACTGAAAACACATACCTTTTTTATGTTTGAGAGATTACTCGTGGCCCGGAGGCCTTTCTAGTTTTACCAGGGCAGGTGGGCGAGCAAGGGCTCAGCCAGGAGGGGTGGGATTTGCTAACAGCTACCCGAGCGCCTCCGACTCTTTGCCGTGTTCGATGAGTACGGTTACCGGGGTCCCTACTTCTAGTGTTAGAGCTAAAAGTGTCTAATGCAAGGGTTATTGGATCTGATAATTCCATAAGGACGAGCCTATGGCGTCGACGGTGATAATTAATACCTACTACCCGTTGGAAGTCGTCGTGGCCTAACGGATAAGACGACCGGTGCATTCGTGTTGAAACGATGCACGAATCCCGCAGGCGGGTACCAATTTTTCTAATGAAATACGTACTCAACAAATGTTCACGATTGACTTCCACGGTGAAGGAATAACATCGTGTAATAAAAATGAAACCCGCAAAATTATAATTTGCGTAATTACTGGTGATAGGACCTCTTGTGAGTCCGCGCGGGTGGGTACCACCACCCTGCCTATTTCTGCCGTGAAGCAGTAATGCGTTTCGGTTTGAAGGGTGGGGCAGCCGTTGTAACTATACATGAGACCTTAGAACTTGTATCTCAAGGTGGGTGGCGCATTTACGTTGTGGATGTCTATGGGCTCCAGTAACCACTTAACACCAGGTGGGCTGTGAGCTCGTCCACCCATAAGCAATAAAAAAAAAAAAGCAGTAATACGCAAATTAGAATTTTGCGGATTTGATTTTTATTACACGATGTTATTCCTTCACCATGGAGGTCAATCGTGAACATTAAAATTTGTTAAGTACGTATTTCATTAGAAAAATTGGTACCCGCCTGCGGGATTCGAACACCGTTACATCGCTAGATACGAATGCACCGGACGTCTTATCCTTTAGGCCACGGCGACTTATAGATTTCTTCGGTATCCTTCAAATCTACACTTCCATTACACGATATTGTTTTGTAATGAAATTCGTTCGTTAGCACAAATCTTACTGTTTACTACCACAGTATGACTTTTAAAAACGCCAAGCATCTTCCCTATTAATCCGCGGCTGCTTCACGCTTATCGTTGTTATAAAAATAACCGCGCTAGAATTTTCGCTAAGAACAAGAGCTTCTTCAATATATATAATTAAATATGTGATGATAACACGTAGTTTAAAAGATACGATCATTGTTGCTTGCATAAACAGTAGATCTTGCATTGTCTTCGCTGATATGATCTATATACAACTAATTGTGTAGTCAGTGTCGCGAATCTTTGATCTCGACAAACGACGTAATTACAGTTCAGATTGTGTGTATTTTGCACATACTTTGACATATAATTGTTGACGGAGTGCTATTACAATATAAGTATGGCTCAGAGAAGTAGTGGTGGAGGCGCTAATACCTATAGTTTTTTCATCTGAATGAATATTAAATTTATTTGTTTCAATTGTTCCCCTAAGATGTAGTCGATTCAATTTTCTTTTACTTTTTTGTATGTAGGTAGGTATCTATGTATTTTAATAACGTAGAATTAATAATTCTTTTTTATGAACAATTCTTTTATGATGTTGATATCAAGCTTCAATATACTCGTATTATCGTTACGCTGGTAAGAGTAGCGCCATCTATCGCCGAATAGCCGAAATGAATATTAAAGGAACTCGTAACGTCGAGAAGGCTCGAGAAGTACAACGCCATATATTGTCAGATAGCGGAAAACACACACCGAAGCTACTCGACTTGCCCAGGATGTTCTCGATAAATCTAGGGATGTCGTCTCGACTATAAAAGCGTTGCAAAGATGGCACGAAGCAGTCAGTAATTGGATCTACTCGAAGCGAAACAGCGAACCGATCAGCTGAAGCGAAGCGGAAGAAGAGAATAAGAATTTTAAAGTCTTCTGTGAGTGTTCTAAGTGCTAATACAGTTGTAATCTGTACTTCGGTAGAATTTTTATTTATCCCGAACCCCAGCCCGTAGCATTATATTATACTTAGGTATATTAGATCGAAGTTATAAAATTATTGTGTTGTTATCAGTTCCTAATGCGTGTGCACTATCAAGTTAATCTTGACGTCTTGAAGTTGTCGAAAATGACGCTCAAAGATACATCTAAACAAAAATATATACGAAGCTAACAAAAGCAACGATCTTAAAAAATCCGACCCTGTCTAGTGAAATTAACAAAGAAAAGTTATTAGGTACATATTTATTACAGATAAATTATTCCAAATTGTGAATGAATTAAGCTGTTTGCCTTGACATATGAGGTCAAACTTTCAACATCAACATTGGCTTAGAAACAAGAGGATTCCCTGATATACAAGATTGCTTCCCGCCAATAATACGAAGGTCGGTGCCACTGACTACTCCGGTGGGTATAGGCGGGGCCATTTATTTTGGCAACTTTACAAATTCTGATTATTTTAAAATCTTGTACATTATTAGAACAATATTATTTGGTGGGTTGGCACTTTTATATTTTAGAAGTTATGTATGTATTTGGACAGCATCCCGGTATGAGGCAGTATGATACTTACCTACATGTGCACTGCATGTATTCACGATTTAACACGAATATATAAATTATTACATGAGGAACAAAAAGCCCGATGGCATTAAAATACTAACTGAAAACAAAAAAAAACTTGCTCCATAATATCTTTCTAAATTATAGTAGGTATACCTACGTAATATTGTAAAATATCGAATATTTCAGACGGCGTCTAAATTACACAGATATGTTTTGTTTCTAAGCTTGTTTTGTATCTTGAAATTTTATGTCCAAATTATACTATATTCTAAATAACTAAATAATGTAGTACCTAATGTCATTTCTAAATACAGTAGATATCACACAAGTACCTACCTATGCAGTGTTACTCACGACTTATAATAAATAGCTTTTAATAAACAGAATCAGATGTTTAATCACAGATTCCTAATGCCTCGTTCCAAAAACAGCTTTATTATACTTAAACATAAAAAGAAAAACTAGTAAAATGCCATATTTTTTTCTTTTTGGTGTTTGAAAATCTAAGCTTATTGTTTTATTGCAAATGTTTATATATTAGTAAGATGCAAATCAATAGAAACAGAAATGGGTGCCGTAAAAGAAACACCAAAGAAAGAAAAATAAAAAGTACTGGAGATATACCCAAAGAAGCTTGACGTCAAGCTGGCTGTCTGTCTTAGAACTCACGCCAAATCTCTATATAGCATGTTAAGAGCACTCTCCCTCTCTCCATGTATAGCTTTTATCCTATTCAAAATTGAATCGTGTCTGCTGAGTTGTTGCGGTCTAAATGAATAAATAAAAAACTACATCACCATTTTCTCGAAATATCTTTAATAGTTTCTTCGTTTGGACCGTGACAGTACAAAAAGGACAAACTTAAGCATTTAATTAAGCTCGCTTGAAACAACATTAAATGAAGTGAGGACACATGCTTGCGTTTTGTTAATAGCCTGTTCGTTTACTGAAAATTTAGTTAAAATTCAAATGAGCAATAGATTCTGTTCTATAGTGTCCTGTTCGTTTCCTTCTCAGTAGTGTCATCTATTTGCCACGGTTGGAACTACTGGATCGCACAATACTTTTGAGGTAATATAAAAAAAACTTATTGAGGTTTTACTCTGGTTAAAAACTCATTTTCCTTTGATAAATAAAAGTAAAATTGATTAATTTGTGACACGATTGCAGCATGTCTATCCAACTTTACAATAAGATGTTCTGAGGATTTTGTTACCATGCACAATGAGTACTATATACCTAGAAAATAGAGCAAAAGTTCGGCAATTAGAAACTTTTCTTTTCCTTCAAATCTTAGGCTCGTGGGCATTTTTATCAGAAAAGTGGACATTTTATACCTTCCACCAAAAATATATGAAAACCAAAATTAAATATTGAAACTGTCATTCGTCTAATTAATGAAGCTTGAAATTTGTGTGAATCATATATCAATTTAATTTACTAGAAATATCCGTAATGTTTCAAAACTCATTAAGGTTCTTAGTTATCGCGGCTCACATATGTCTACAAACGGTGGCAATATGCCAAATATCAATTAATCCCAGTAACAAACCACTTCATTAATGTATATCATGCGTAACTAACGATACCAACATACGTGATGCTTTAACATCTAATGTTAAATCAACCATGGTAGTTTAGTGCTGTTTCAATTAGTGTCCTTTACTTTGATATAAATGCTTTATTTTTTAGAATAAATTGAATAATTATTAAGACTAACTAATGGTACTAAATATTATAAAACTATTATTACCTATCAGATCTAATTTTTCCATACTTTTAGTATAGAATGCTCAAACAAAAGCGACATCTATTAGCAACAAGCGTAACTACGTGCAGCAATTTTTTTTATTTGATAGTACCTACCGAAATAGATATTGTGCAACTAAATTAAAGATATCCACAATTGTAAGGTATAGAGGGTTAGGCTAATAAATTAATTGAACGTTCACAATTAGGCGGCTAGTAGGGTATCTGCCTACCTATCTTGTTTCGAGTAATTTTTTTGACATTTCGTTCCGAACGTCAAAAAAAAGAACGTCAAAATCATTGAAAACTCGTAGCGGGAATGTGTCGAATTTTCCTACTTCATTGGTCGAATGTGATAGTGATAAAATCTCGTTTGTTGATTCAAAGTGATTGTAACTGAACGAAACGCGACCTTATAAAGAAATACCCCTTATAGAATGCCGCCGAGTAGCTTACGAGTCGTGTACGCGTTCGCCAGAGAAATGCATCCGAAGACAACTGACATTTTTATTCAATACGGCACTGCCGGATTTCGCACAAAGTAAGATAAAATTATTCTTGACCTAGCTTAAATATTTTATGATTTGAACAGTGTTATAAGAAACATATACTAAAATATTAGTTGGAACACCTTTCTCCCTTGTAAAATGTCACGTAAGCAAATTAGTATGTCACGTATTTCAATTGTGGTATGAATATTATGCCATTGATCTATAATAATTCGCGTGTGGTTGTGAGTCATACTAAATTGTTTTATTATAAATTCATAACGGGAAGTACTCGTTACTATACCTTTTATGGTCACCGACATTCACCACATTAATATATTCATTAATATTATGCCTTAGTTAATAGAACTTTGGTTTAATATTAGGGAGAAAAAAAAAACAATTCGTGTTTTAACTGTATTCATTAGGACATATTATTTTAATGAATTAGAGCCTGTAATAATGGAAATATGTTGTTAATGCATGACACAATCAAAAGTTAGATACAGTTATATAAATGGAAACAAGCATTGTGGGGGTCTATTTGTATTAAATTTAGAAACATTTGCAAATGAATCAATTTGGCACAACCATGTTTTGACAGTAATTGATTCACAAATTTAATATCCAATATTTTGAAATATAAATTTAGCAATAGATATCTAAATCTAGACTAGAAATCTAGTAAAGGTTTGAAGTAACAGTCTTTAAAAAATAAAATTGTTATAATTTTGATCAAAGAAATAGGTCATCAAAGTAACATCATTGGCTGTTAAATAAACTGAAAATAATAATTAATAAAAGCCACATATCTACTTTACCAATTATATAAAGTATAATACTAATATAAAAATATATTATTACTGTTTATATGTATTTTATATTCATTGAATAGACCATATTTATTGAAGTACTAGCTGACCCGGCAAACTTCGTAGTGCCTCAATCGATAAATAAAAGACCTAAACTTTTCTATAAAATAAACTTAAAACAAAAAAAAAGGAAAAACAAAATTGTTATTTTTATTTAATTCCAAGCAATTCATATTTATCTACCTTTTAAACCTTCTCTAGACTTCCACAAATAATTCAAGACCACAATTAGCCAAATCGGTCCAGCTGTTCTAGAGTTTTAGCGAGACTAACGAATAGCAATTCATTTATATATATATAGATTATGCATTTGGCTAACTTTGCCTTATAAGCCATCATTCTAACGAAAACAAGAGTTTTATTTCAGTGTAAGAGTTAAACACTTAAAAAAATCATGTGCTGATTTAATAAAATATTTCCACCTTATCATTATCATCATCAAAACAGCCACTGAAAGGTCCTTTTCTTAGTAGGTACTTATTGTAAACTTCTTGGTAGGTTTAATTGTTAATCGTATACTATATTTTATTTGGTCTACTTAAACATAGATGCATGCTCAAAAAGCAATTGGTTTTAGCTCAAATAAAAAAAAAACTGTTCTAAGATTCCCATTATAATTATAGGTACATAATTATTATTAAATCAAATTTAAAAAACAACCTTTGAAAATGAAATGCTGTGTGATATTTGTAAAGAGGTTATATAAATAAACCTGAATTTTCAGTAATAAAAATATGCTTTGATCAGTGGAGTTCATATTGAGTTGGCACACTTCCAACACTTACAATATTTATTCTCTTTATGGCATCTTATTTTAGTACATCATATTATATCTTAAAAGCAACAATGAGAAAGATTTGGAATGTTTTCAATGGAAGTAGAGTCTTTGCAAATAGTGAAAAGCATTATGATGTACTGACTGAAATTCAATCTGCATTATGGGAATCGAAAAATGTGACTCCATCCATTATAAGTCTTCTGACTTACATAACAAGACTAATAGTCTCTTGAAAAAACTTAATTAAGAATGCTCAACAGAGAACATAGCTTAGAATTACTCCTAGATGGGCATACAAGGCTGTTATGTGAATTAGACGGGAAGTTGAAGGTCATTGACATTACAAGATAGGTCTACATACAGCAGTAGAAAGACATTAGCTAATGCTGATATGATTCGAGTTTATGATAAATGATAGTGATAAGCATTAACTGCAAAAGCCCTATACGTAACAAGACAATTACTAATATACTGATAAACAGACTAGGTTGAGTGGACGTTTTAAATAAATAAAATTGAAATGTCTATTTGTAAGGGCAAAACAACAACTTTTCACTAAATGCATGCAAAAATAAATGCAGAACTTAAAACAATTTGAATACTTTTGTCTGTTTGTCTGTTTTTTTCTGGTTAATCTCTGAAATGGATAGACTGATTTTATTTAAACGATAATGTTAAAAGATCATCTTGGGCTATATTTATTTTAGAAAACTAATAAAGCTATGAAAAACACACCAAAGAATGGCCGGGTTTAGCTAGTGTTATAATAAAGCTAAACGTTTCATCGGCTCTAAGCCAAGATATTCTGAGTGAATTTAATGCTGGAATTATACATAAGACACAAGGTTAGTTGTATTGTACAAAGATCTCTCGTCTTTAAAACTGGAACATGATTTCTTCACAGTTGAAACAGGCAGATTAGTGGTAATGACCCATGCAAGAAAACAAACCATAGTCCAAACTCAAAATAATTAATCTTGCACATGTGATAATTATAACATGAATTTTTTTTTTTTTTTTTTTATTGCTTAGATGGGTGGACGAGCTCACAGCCTACCTGATGTTAAGTGGTTACTGGAGCCCATAGACATCTACAACGTGGACGCGCCACCCACCTTGAGATACAAGTTCTAAAGTCTCAGTATAGTTACAACGGCTACCCCACCCTTCAAACCGAAACGCATTACTGCTTCACGGCAGAAATAAGCAGGGCGGTGGTACCTATCCGCGCGGACTCACAAGGGGTCCTACCACCAGTAATTACGCAAATTATAATTTTGCGGGTTTGATTTTTATTACACGATGTTATTCCTTCACCGTGGAAGTCAATCGTGAACATTTGTTGAGTACATATTTCATTAGAAAAATTGGTACCCGCCTGCGGGATTCGAACACCGGTGCATCGCTTCAACACGAATGCACCGGACGTCTTATCCTTTAGGCCACGACGACTTCAAATGATTCTATTCTTCTATATTTCCTTTGAAAAATCGATACCTAAGCATGGGCTCATCGTCTTAGAAACTAGGAATCTTAGACTAATCTCTGTTAATGATTGCAATCTGCTGTAAATCAATAAAGAGACAGAAATATAACTGTAATACTTTCCTGTTTTCAGGGCCAATTTATTGGAGCATGTCGTGTATCGTATGGGTCTCTTGGCCGTCATTCGTTCCAGAGTTAAAAATGGTAAATTATATACTAGATCTTTAACTAAGAAATTTCCATTGAGTATACAGAATGTTTTATTTTTATCAATTTAATATTGACCCATGCATCGATGCATCTGCCGATGCAGTGGCAATTTTTTTTATGCCCTTCAACCTATAGACACGTCCCACTGAGTTTCTCGCTGGATCTTCTCAGTGGATCGCGATTCCGATCCGGTGGTAGATTCTGTGAAGCACTACTTTTGGTAGGGCTAGTGTTAGCAAATTCTTTCAGGTTGAGCCCGTGAGCTCACCTACCCGTCCGGGCGTAGCTGGAATAGCCTCTTACGCTAACAGCTAATAGGTAGGGGAACAAAATGCCCTTCGTCAGAAGTCAGGTGTACAGGAGCCAACAAACCCTTCAAAGGAATTTTGTACGACAGTTTGGACAGCATCTTGGCAGGCAAAATTCAATATGCAAGATGTCTCTTGCGTATCGAATTTTTGCCTGCCGAAATGCTGTCCAAACTTTAGAAAAAGAAAAAGTCAAGCTTTTTATTAATTACCTCCAGTTCCACACAGTACACATACACCCGCAGTAATGCTGGTGTCATTTAGTAAGAAGGTGTGATAAATTATACCGGTATCAGACCACTAAACAGTGACCCATAACCTATCAGGGGTAAGTTTTCGTTTCGGACATTGCTTATGTGGTGAACGAGGGTCTAACCAACATGATGACCGCTTACGATTATCAAAAAGAAACCATTTTTATCGCAGGAGATAATGCGCTTCAAAATCTCGGTCTCTCGTTTCTGTGTCCGTAAAGCAATACAAGGCACCTACTTATTAATTATTTTTACCTTTGAGAAATTGATTTCAAGTTAGAGTTTATCGTCATTCAACCATAAATTACGTTTTAGATATTCAGTATTTAAAAACGACAAATTCATTGCTAAAGACCAATAGACGATAAATCAGACGGTAATTATCATTCACACGAGGTCGATCGTGAGCTTCTTGTTCACCCATCGAGTGCAATAAGCGGAAAAAATCCTATATATTAGGACTATTCTAGGACTTACAGGCAGTCTTCAGAACATCGATTGGAATTCAATAGAAAATTATAGTTGCCGAATTTTCAATCAGGACGCACCATCGGCATCATGATAACAGCATCGCACAATCTCGAGCCCGACAACGGTGTGAAGCTCATCGATCCAGATGGCGAGATGCTTGAGCAGAGCTGGGAGGCGATAGCCACTAAACTAGCTAATGTCAGGTACGCATTTCAGAGAAGGTTACAGGAAGTTTTGAAGTCGTCATGGCCTAAAAGATAAGATGTCCGGTGCATTCGTATCTAGTAGCGATGCACCGGTGTTCGAATCCGGCAGGCGGGTACCAATTTTTCTGATGAAATATAATACGTACTTAACAAATGTTCATGATCGGCTTCCACGGTGAAGGAATAATATCGTGTAATAAAAATCAAACCCGCAAAATTATAATTTGCGTAATTACTGGTGGTAGGACCTCATGTGAGTCCGCACGGGTAGGTACCACCACCCCGCCTATTTCTGCCGTGAAGCAGTATTGCGTTTCGGCTTGAAGGGTGGGGCGGCCGTTGTAACTATACTGAGACCTTAGAACTTATATCTCAAGATGGGTGGCGCATTTGCGTTGTAAATGTCTATGGGCTCCAGTAACCACTTAACACCAGGTGGGCTGTGAGCTCGTCCAACCATCTAAGCAATAAAAAAAAATAGATTAATAGATTTCATAGGACAGAGTTCTTGAGTGTTGGATGTATGTATAATATTAATCTGTTTATATTAAGCAGTTGCATTTGAATCACCTGCTAGTTAATGTAGTAAAAAACGACTATTGCAAACAAAAATCAAGGAACCCAAAAAAAATATTTTTATTATCGTGGGAACAAAGATCGAGATGGATGAAATGGCGACAGATCACGGGCACCACGTGTGACTCAGACATTTCTCTTCCCCTAGAAGGGAAGATATATAAGACCTTAATAAGGCCTGCCGTCTTGTATGGATCAGCTTGTTGAACCACTAAAGTGGCGGATGAAAGGCAATTGCATGCAGCAGAGATACGAATGTTGCGATGGATGTGTGGGGAAACGAGAATTGATAGAATATGGAAGTCTGAAAGTGGCACCTGTGATAGAGATGTTGAGAAGTGCGCGTTTGGGATGGTATGGATATGTGATGAGACGAAATGACAATGAGGTTGGAAAGAGAGTGCTAACTGTGGATATGGAAAGCTATAGAGGAAGAGGTAGACCTAAGAAGAAATGGATGGATTGCGTGAAAGACGATATGTGTAAGAGGGGAGTGAGCGAAGAAATGATGATATAGGAGTATGGAAGGAGAAAACATGTTGCGCCGACCCTAGGTGACAGGGCAAGAGAATGATGGAAACAAAAACCGTGATGTGTTGTATTTTTATCAGACAAATTATAAAACAACAACAAAGAATAATTTTTGGATCAGATTACGAACATATTTATAGATGAAACAATATATGTAGTAGATTTCTTACATTCGATGTAGTTACATAAATTTGCTATGCATTTTACTACGAATACGACGTTCGGCCAAATATATCACAGACAAACAATGTTTCGACTATGAATAGCCGTTCAAAAAAAAAAAACATACAAACTTTCGATGAGTTTATGGACAAGTGAATAGAGAGTTTAAAATACAACTACATATATTTTTGATTCGGTTCTCTTTATCATCCACTTTACCACTTTAACATTACTTAAAACATATCCTAAAATAAAACATGGTCGCGAAAATTAAAAATTATACTAAATATTCAAAAACGAATGACAGCTTCATATTTAAAAAAATAAGATTGATATAAAATATCGATATTCGATTTTTTCGAATTGAACCCAACTCTAGAGATATCACTGCAAGTAGTTTCACGGATCAAGCTTTATTGGAAAAACTATAGTAAATAATAAATAAAAAAAATCTACATTTCCAGTGACAATGACTTGGAAGCGACAACTGCTGAGATTATAAAAGAAGTGAATGCTAATATGACACTCAAAACGAGTATATTCATTGGAATGGACACAAGGTAAGTTTTATTCACATGTTCTTTTTATTCAAAGCCAATTGTAGTCTAGACTTTTTGTGTAATAATGACGTCGAATATTAAATTAAGTTAAGCTTTTTAAATTTAAAGTTTCCATGTGTTATAATGATTCTGAACAGCATTGTCGTGCTCCACTGAACTAATTAAAAATCCATGCCAGTATCGACAAAAACGATTATTTATATTCACACATTATTTTTATTAAAAACCAATTGTAGTCCAGACTTTTTGTGTAATTATGGTGTCGGATATTAAATTAAGCTTTTTTAAATTAACGTTTCTATGCGTTATAATGATTCTGCAAAAGCATTATAGTTCGGCAATAAGCTAATTAATTAAAAATCTGTGAAGACATTGACAAAAACAATTTAAAAGAATTTACTGGTGGTAGGACCTCTTGTGAGTCCGCGCGGGTAGGTACCACCGCCCTACCTATTTCTGCCGTGAAGCAGTAATGCGTTTCGGTTTGAAGAGTGGGGCAGCCGTTGTAACTATACTGAGATCTTAGAACTTATATGTCAAGGTGGGTGGGCGCATTTACGTTGTAAATGTTTATGGGCTCCAGTAACCACTTAACACCCGGTGAGCTCGTCCATCCATCTAAGCAATAAAAAAAAAACGATTTTATGGTCGTATATATGCTGGCTTGCATATTGAGAAATAACAAATTTTAATTTCCACAGATACACAAGTCCCCGTCTAGCACAGGCGGCTGCTAACGGAGTCATGGCGCTGAAGGGAACGCCCAAGGAGTTCGGAATTGTTACCACTCCGATGCTGCATTTCTTCGTAAAATGTCGTAACGATAATACATATGGAACTCCAACCGAGGAAGGTAATTCAAAGTTAATAATTCACATAACGTCAGCGTAATACTCTCGTGACGTTGGACAATAATGATATTATGAAAATCGACTCCACATAGATTGGCTACAGCTTATAAAGTGCTTTCACAGCTCTATGTGCTCACAGCTTACGGTAGGCAGCGACTTGGCTCTGCTCCTGGCATTGCTGAAGTCCATGGGCGACGGTAACCACTTAACATCAGGTCCGGATCCGGTCAGGGCCGTATGCTCGTCTGCTTACAAGGGCAATAAAAAAATAAAAATAAAGTATTATGTCTACCTTTTTTGGTAGACCAATACATAGTACATTCTGTTCACATTACATTCATACATTAATTCATAGTACATAGTACATTCTGGTACACAAGCTCACGGGACTCAACCTGAGAAAGTGTGCTAACTTTTGGCCCTTGCAAGAGCAATTGCTTTGTAGAATCTACCACCGGATCGGAAGCCTACAGTGGGTCGCGTTTCCGATCCGCTGGTAGATTCTGCGAAGCACTGCTCTTGCTAGGGCCAGTGTTAGCGATACCTTCGATTTGAGCCCCGTGAGCTCACCTAGTCACTCGGTTACGCTGACATTACTCTCTAAGGTTACCGCATTAGGTAGAAAAAAAAAACACCTTAACACCATACTGGCCATTGTGTAATTTTTTAATCCATAGTGACTTTCTAAATATTTTTTGTTTATTTTCACAGGATATTATGAGAAAATCGTTGGTGCTTTCAAGAATATACGTCAAAAGCTACCCGTTTACGGTAATTATAGTACGACGTTGTACGTTGACGGCGCTAACGGCGTCGGTGGAAAGAAACTTAATATCATCAAGAAGACCCTCGATGGTGAACTGGATTTGAAGCTGTTCAATTTAGGCGGGAACGGAGGAAAGTTGAATTTGAATGTGAGTGAAACTCTTATATCTGGAAAACTAACTGCGACTCGCGACTTTGCCCGCGTGCTCAAGGAAAAATGTTAGCGTAATTTCCCGTGGGAATGAGTTGGTTTTCTTTTTAATACGCTTTTATTAGCTTCAGACGTATGTATGCTAAGTATGTAACGGAATCTTTGAACATGATTTTGACACCCTTCAAAACGTCGGATTAACTCGAAATTTGGTACACATATTAAGAACCGATGACAATTAAATATTAAAAGAGCTTTTTTTACAATAAAATCATTTTTTCTTACACTATTTTTAATTCCAATTTATTTAAATTTATTTTCTATTTTTTAATTGGATTTTCCATAAAAGCGTATTTTGTTAGTTTTTTTAAACTATTATTTATTAGGGATAAAAGTTAGCCTATCACTCAATCAGTCACTCTCATGATCTAATACAATAGTTTAAACGTGTCTGTATTTACTACGTCTTCTTCTCTGCCCGAGACATATTATGTAGTGTTCATTTATAATATTAGTATGTAACTTTAGAAAGTATGTAATTAAAAAAAAAGATTGCATTCTACAGTACTTCTCTATATTCTCTATAAGTGTGAAAAATTTCATACTCCTCCATCCGCGCGATTTTCGTAAAAAGAGATACAAAGTTTTAGCTTCACGTATTAATATATTATTATATAGTCTGAAACTTAATATGTATGTACATTTATATTAAAATTCAAAATCAAATCGATTATTTAATACTATTCTTCCCTTCATATTCCCTTTGATACAAAGTTTTTGCTTCTCATATTAATATATAGATGTTATGTTACAGTGCGGTGCTGATTTCGTGAAAGTATCACAGAAGCCGCCCGTCGGCGTGGAGCACGTGCCGATGCAGCGAGTGGCCTCACTGGACGGCGACTCCGACCGCATCGTCTATTACTACGTCGACGATAAGTTAGTGGTTTTCACTGGTGGTAGGACCTCTTGTGAGAGTAACGTAAAGACTGAGAATGATGTATCGGAAAATCGTTTACTGGACCCTAAGATCAAAGTCAATAAAACAGCAACCTAAGTCGCAAATAAGGTTCTATTTTAAGTCGTCGTGGCCTAAAGGATAAGACGTCCGGTGCATTCGTATGTAGCGATGCACTGGTGTTCGAATCTCGCAGGCGGGTAACAATTTTTCTAATGAAATACGTACTCAACAAATGTTAACGATTGACTTCCACGGTGAAGGAATAATAACATCGTGTAATAAAAATCAAACTCGCAAAATTATAATTTGCGTAATCACTGGTGGTAGGATCTCTTGCGAGTCCGTACGGGTAGGTACCACCACTCCGCCTATTTCCGCTGTGAAGCAGTAATGCGTTACGGATTAAAGGGCGGGGCAGCCGTTGATAATGTGGCCTTAGAACTTATATCTCAAGGTGGGTGGCGGCATTTGCGTTGTAGATGAATATGGGCGCCGGTAACCACTAAGCAATAAAATAAATTACAAATTATATTATTAATATAACTTCATTGCCATCCTTACTCCGCCACTGACAAAGCCAGGGTTGTCAACAGCTCGATTCTAAAATGCAATTGTACTTTTGTTTTCAGAGATAAAATGCACTTGTTGGACGGCGATCGTATAGCCACATTATTGGCCAGCTACATCACCGAATTGCTGACGGCCAGCGAAGCGAAACATTTGAAACTAGGCCTCGTGCAAACGGCCTACGCTAACGGTGCATCCACTGCTTATATAACGCAGAAGCTGGTAATATATTTATTTATTTATTAAGCAACTACCTGACCCGGCAGACTTCGTAGTGCCAAGACTTTTGTATAAAATAAACTTAAAACAAACAAAAGGAATCCGTCCGACGGGGGGGGGGGGACACCTCAAAGGAAAAACAAAATTGTTATTTTTATTTAATTCCGAGCATTTTCATATTTTTCTACCTTTTAAACCTTCTCTGGACTTCCACAAATAATTCAAGACCAAAATTAGCCAAATCGGTCCAGCCGTTCTCGAGTTTGAGCGAGACTAACGAACAGCAATTCATTTTTATATATATATGTAGATAGATTACGGTTGCTACAGCCGGAGGTTGCAAAAAAAAAAACAAAGTTTATTTAAACTAAATTTAATTATAAGAATTACAGTTTAAAAGCTATACTAAGTTAACCTAGGCTGGTGTGTCTTGATCGAACCAACATCCAAGGGTACTGTCTTTTATATATGAAGCGATGCCCTCGTTGCAGTGTGCTTAGTGCGGGTTTTTTAACGTTTTCGATAGCGTAAAAGTTAGCTCATATTTGTATGGAATGGGATCGTTTGCCTACGTTTGCCACCGTTGCCACGTTGTTAACATGAAGGATGCTACTTATTGCCTATAATTAATTATCAATTAATTATTGACTATTCAAATTCACTAACACTCCACATTACAATACTTATCGAAGCTCAAAGATGACACAACGTTGTCCTGAAGACGCGACGTTGAAATCTAAACTGTATTGCATAATGTTTTTCCCGCCTTACTGGTGGTAGGACGCCTTCTGAGTCCGCACGGGTAGGTACCACCACCCTGCCTATTTCTGCCGTGAAGCAGTTATGCATTTCGGTTTTAAGGGCGGGGCAGCCGTTGTACTGTTACTAGTGAGACCTTAGAACTCATGTATCAAGGTTAGCGGCGGCATTTATGTTGTAGATGTCTAAAGTCTCCGGTAACCACTCAACACCAAGTGGGCTGTGAGCTCGTCCATCCACCTAAACCACTTCGATAAAGCGGCACGACACGAGAACCCTCTCATCGTGGCCGCCGGTAACTACATTCCCGATCCTGCGGACAGAAAGGAAAGCAGTCGACGTCGCCCAAAACACGTCATCTCGGATCCTCCCGATCCACTAACGGTGCTTCTAGGTACTTCAAGCACCGGTCACCGTTCTCGTCGAACCCGTCGCTTGCGACGAAGGGCTCGACGAGTAAATTAACTCTCAGACACAGCCCACTGAGTTTCTCGCCGGATCTTCTCACTGGGTCGCGTTTCCGATCCGGTGGTAGATTCTGCGAAGCACGGCTCTTGCTAGGGTTCGTGTTAGCAACGTCATCAGGTTTGAGCCCCGTGAGCTCACCTACAAACGTTAGGGTTACGCTGAAATAGCCCCTAAGGCTATCAGCTTAGGTAGGAAAAAAAAAAAAACCACCTACACAATAAAAAAAATAAAAATAAAACCAGGTAGACCGCGAACTAGTTCTATTCTTCCGTGAGCTTTCATTCATTCATAATTGCTTTCAAACAGAAAGTCCCGGTGACCTGCGTGAAGACAGGAGTGAAGCATCTCCATCACGCAGCGCTTTCGTATGACATCGGCGTCTACTTCGAAGCGAACGGGCACGGCACAGTCATATACAGCGACAACGCTAAGAAGACGATCAGCAAAATTGCCGAAGAGGGGTGAGATTCATTCAAGTCACTAACTCTTTCATTCATTCATTCATGTCATTCAATAGTTCATTCATTCATTCATGTCATTCATTAGTTCATTCATTCATTCATGTCATTCATTAGTTCATTCATTCATTCATTAATTTATTGCAGTCATTGTTGTGATCACGGTATCTTTATGCGTTACATAAGTAGCGGATTCAATAAACCGTAGATTGGGGGCGGAATAGGGACTAGGGGTAGAATAAAGACAAATCTGGGTTGTCACAATGTGTGATTTAAATTTGTTGAATTGAAAATAACTTTTATTTAGTGTTTATGAATATTAAATAGTTTCATTTAGTCATCAGAGTTTGGTAATAAGGATATTGAAAAGTTAATTACCTAAAGTTAAGTACCTACTTAACAACTAAACAGTGCCAGCCCTATTGAAAAACCTGTATTGTCTCCATTCGTGACCCGATTCACCCCAAAAACCAAGGTGGATTAGGTCAAGCTAGTTTTTTATGTTTTTGTGTATATTTTCAATGAACTGTATATAATGCGTTGTATATGAAAATTTAAACCTCCGCAACCATTTAAATCTTAATTTTATTGGTATTATTACCTTAAGAAAAACCGCAAAAAATTTGTGTTGGAATCGGAAAGCGTCTCGATTCCCCCTGCTATCTACTGAATCGCATTTCCTAACATCATCGATACTCACAGTGCAGTAATTGTCAATAAATATAAAAATGAATTGCTGTTCGTTAGTCTCGCGAAAACTCGAGAACGGCTGGACCGATTTGGCTAATTTTCGTCTTGAATTATTTTTGGAAGTCCAGAGAAGGTTTAAAAGGTAGATAAATATGAAAATGCTCGGAATTAAATAAATATATATAATAACAATTTTCTTTTTCCTTTGATGTGTCCTCCGTCGGACGGATTCCTTTTGTTTGTTTTAAGTTTATTTTATACAATAAGTTTATTAGGTCTTTTATTTATCGATTGAGGCACTACGAAGTCTGCCGGGTCAGCTAGTCGCTACATAGTATAAAACAAAGTCGCTTCCTCTGTCCCTATATCTGTCCCTATGTATGCGTAAATCTTTAAAACTACGCAACGGATTTTGATGCGGTTTTTTTTAAATAGATAGAGTGGTTGAAGTTGAAGGTTTGTATGTATAATAACATTCATTAAATAGTGGAGAAATCAATAATAAATTACAGTTTCCGAAGCGAAGCGAGGGCGGGTCGCTAGTTGTCAATAAATGAAATTGAATATGTATTCCAGGGAGTCTGAACAAAGGAAGGCGGCACAGTTGCTTCTGAACTTCATCGACATGACCAACGAGACGGTCGGAGACGCCATATCGGACCTGTTCCTCGTCGAGACGGTGCTCTGCGCTCGAGGACTGGACGCCGAGCAGTGGCTCTCCACGTACGACGACCTGCCCTGCAGACAAGTAAAAGTAACAGTACAGGTAATTGACTTTAACTATTCTTAAATCCGTACAAACCACAAACTGACCTTCAAACGAAGATCCTCAATCTCTGTCGTAGTCTCAAACGATTATAGTCTTTCAAATCGGAACATTAGTTATTAGTTATTATACAGTCATTAGACTGTTTTGCGTTCGTTTTTTATTAATTTTTTTATTTCTTAGGTTGGTGGTTGACCTCACAACCCACCTGGTGTTAAGTGGTTACCGGAGCCCATAGACATCTACAACGTAAATATCGCCATCCACCTTGAGATATGGGCTCTAAGGTCGTTCTTACGTATAGTTACGACGGCTGCCCTGCCGTTCAAACCGAAACGCATTACTGCTTCACGGCACCTCACAAGAGGTCTATACCACCAGTAGTAAAATTAGAACAGAGTTGCTCTTGATGGAAAATTAGAATAATTCAATTAGAAATTTAAATTACAGGATCGTAATGTGATATCTACGGCGGACGCGGAGCGCGTGTGCACGTCGCCCGAGGGACTGCAGACGCGTATCGACGAGCTCGTCGCTGCGTACGCGGACGGACGCGCCTTCGTGCGTCCCTCCGGCACCGAGGACGTGGTGCGAGTGTACGCGGAAGCGGACACGCAGCAGGTAACCTAATAATGCATATTAAACGCTCAAGTTGCATCCACGGTTGCACTCACAAGAACTAAAAAGTTGCTCGAGGATGATTCGACAATCTCTTTTTGAAGTTAAACTTCTAATGCGGCTTTTAACACGGTAGCTTTTTTTCTATCCTACCTATGCTGATAGGCTTGAGAAGCTATTTCAGCGTAACTTTAACTAGTAGGTGAGCTCAAGGGGCTCAAACCTGAGCGTTAAACGTTTAACGCTGCCGTGGAATAGAAAGAGACAGAGCGAGAGTGAATGCGTGCCACTCGAGCGCATGTGCATAGTGTACCTGCTACAGGCCAGCGCGAGTGTTAGCATCGAGTAGCGTCCAATATTTTACTGAAGTAAAATATATATAATATAAATGTTGAAGATGTCGCATCTCTTATACACAGCATTCCCTGTTACAAGCGTAATCTGATTTAAGGATGAAAAATGAAGAAAACCACAATACACACATCGAAAAAGAAGTTTCACTTCATTCGCGGGCACCAAGTTGTACGTGCATCGTTTTTACCATAGTTTCGTCCGTTCATATACTAGTCGGGCACTACGACATGTGTTTCCTCATGCAAATAGAAGTTAAAGCCAGTAGGTAGCAGGCTGTGTGGTTTTTGCGTGTCACTGAGAATCTTCCTTAATACTTGACGGCGATAGGTAACGTAAATAATACGCTGTATGGAGCTATTGCATCCTCCCGACACTAGATGGCGTTAGTTATCTCTCATAGAATTTGCGGGTATTTTGACAATAATATATGTAACCTTATTGTCTTTTGATTGATAGTACATTACTTTTTTTTTTTTTTCAGTCAGCAGATAAACTCGCGGCAGAAGTATCACAGGCCGTTTACGATTTGGCCGGTGGCGTTGGAAATCGACCAGAGTTGCCAGCTTAAAAAACATTGCGGGAAACAGTTCGGAAAGAAGCTATTTGCGCACGTAGAAATTTTACAAATAAATGAAGATGACTTTTCGAATATCTTTTTCTTGAAGTTTAAAACTTCAGAACGAGATTATTTTGAAAAAATAATAATAATCAAATCAGTCCTCGTGACTAAAAACATTAGTCGCTCTAACAAAAGACGCTAAATTATGACAAAAATCTTCGAATGAAGAACTTATTTTTGTCACTACTGTCAATGTCATAACGAGTGTTCCGTCTCAATCTAATCAGTCTATGTGTGTAACACCCGATAGCTGAGCTTCAAATAAAAGCGGTTACCGCGCCTTTACAATAACGAAATTAATGTCTAATAATAATTAAAATTAATTTTACGGTTTAATTTCGTATTTTATTTTTGACAGCATTTTGAATACTGTACAATTTTCTTGATCACAGATGACTGTGATGTTATTCTCGAGCATTTCAATATTGTGTTACCTACCCTCTAATTTTGCAAAAATTAAATCTTGAATTACATGTTTTTTTTTTCACACTGAAATTAATGTTGTATCTGAAACTCAATATATTTGACTTACGTTTTTATGTTCATTTTAATAAAATTTATTTTAATAATTCAATATAATTCAAGAGAATCCCGGATGAGCGCAAGCTTTAAGGTACATATGGGAATGGCTACAAATAATTAGTAAATCCGAGACTGAACCGTAAAAATTATTTTAATTGTATCTACGACTCGTAAAAAACGAAAACAATAAATCGTATTAACAAATAATTACAATAAATATTAGATTAAAAAATGCACACAGATTAGTTAATATTAGAATGTCCGTTTGAGTTTCATTGAGTTAGCTGTGTACAGTGTGAGAGTTTTTTAACGTTATCGATAGCGTAAAAGTTAACTTATATTTGTATGGATTGAGATCGTTTGCGTACGTTTGCCGCTAGGGGCGCTGTTCCAACTGCATACAAAATTGTGTTAACTTTTACGGCCTGGCCACGGGGATCGGCGGTGCGAACAGCGAAGCGGTGGGCGAGGCGACCATTCGCGCAGCACCGTTTGCAGGCCACGGGTACTCACGTTCGCCGCCGCGACTAGTAAGGAAGTCCGACAGCGAAATGTCTATATCGAAATTATCTCGATATTGCTTACAAATTAATAGTTTTTTGGTTCAGGACCTATTATTTGGAAAAGATTGTGAAGTACATGATTTGAATAAGAATCGGAGTATACCTATAGATGGAGAATTCCACAAGAAGTACGAGAAATACTTTGGGTGGCTAGACTTCCAAATAGCTGGTCTAGCTAGTATTTCAGCTATTTTATTTTTTTATTGCTTAGATGGGTGGACGAGCTCACAGCCCACCTTGTGTTAAGTGGTTACTGGAGCCCATAGACATCCACAACGTAAATGCGCCACCCACCTTGAGATATAAGTTCTAAGGTCTCAAGTATAGTTATAATGGCTGCCTCACCCTTCAAACCGAAACGCATTACTACTTCACGGCAGAAATAGGCAGGGTGGTAGTACCCACCCGTGTAGACTCACAAGAGGTCCTACCACCAGTAATTACGCAAATTATTATTTTGAAGATTTCATTTTTATCACACGATGTTATTCCTTCACCGTGGAAATCAATCGTGAACGTTGAGTGTTGTTGAGTACGTATTTCATTACAAAAATTGGTACCCGCCTGATATTCGAACACCGGTGCATCGCTCAACACGATTGCACCGGACGTCCGTTAGGCCACGACGACTTTAAAAATATAAAATAAAAAATAAATAAAAAATATAAAAATTTCGGCGTTAATTTTTCGCGGCGAAAACAACTAAACTCATTTAATCACTGCACTATTCGCCGCGACTACCGCTCGACTCCGTGGCTCGCGCCGTCCGTATTCATGCATTTGTTTTGCTCGCCCGCCGCATCGCGCGATTCGCTCGGTACATTTCGCCGGTCGCTTCGCCGGTCGCCGGTGCGCGTGGCTTGTTAGGTACATTTCTATGCGCTTGTTTTAGTCGCTAGACGCTTCGCCGTTCGCACCGCGCGAATATTCGCATCGGCGAATGTCCCGTGGCCAGGCTGTTACGCTATCGAGGAAGTTTAAAAATCTCACACTAAGCACTCTCAACTGTTTTTTAGTATACATAATAATTACAACGCCTTACTAGTCGTTTTGGAGTTTATAAAACATTAAAATATATTTATCTTTTCGAATTTTATTAAAAACAATTCTCACAACGTTAATAAGAAAATGCTCTCTTCGTTAATAAAACAAGATGTATGTAAAGTTAATTGAAATGTTTTCTCATTTAACGTATAAATAATATCGTTTATAAAAGACCTAGAGATAATAACATGTTTGTATGTATGTTACTGGTGGTAGGACCTCTTGTGAGTCCGCACGGGTAGGTACCACCACCCTGCCTGTTTCTGCCGTGAAGCAGCGCCGGTGGGGCAGCCGTTGTAACTATACTGAGACCTTAGAACTTATATCTCAAGGTGGGTGACGCATTTACGTTGTAGATGTCTATGGGCTCCAGTACCCACATAACATCAGGTGGGCTGTGAGTTTGTCCACCCACCTAAGCAATAAAACAAAAATGTTGATAGATATACCTCAATACAAATATGTAGCTATCGACTGATGTATAGTTATACAGGGTGTGAGCCGGCAATTATCAAAACCAGTTACTTTAATGGTTAAATGATAGACATTTGAGGCCTATAAAATCAAAGGCAGCTAAATCCAATTCTGTCAAATATTGAGGTAAACTACAAAAATCGGCCATAAACACGTCATTACGGATCCTCCTGATACATCGAAGTACTGCTTTTGCTAGGGCCAGTACTAGCAACACTCCCGGTTTGAGAAACTGAAATAACTGTACGGGTAGCTACGATATTCTTTATTTTAAAGCAGATTTATAAAGAATGAGGATATTGCTAATAATCTGAATTTTAAATGATAAAACTTCGTTTATATTTGAGTACAGAGTAAAAATTAAATCTTTGAACTGAATTTGCTAGAGATTTGCTGCATTTGTTATAATATGAAAATACTAAAGCGTGTCCAAGTAACTAAACAAGATGGCGCCATAGTTAATCTATTTTACTACACTATGGCGTTAGCTGCCTTTGATTTTATAGGCCTCATTTAGGGTTTGCGTTTGAACAAACAATAATCATTAATGATTTCTTTAGTATTATTGGTAGCTATCACAAGTACTAGTCTTTAGTTTCCGGATTTTTTTTTTTTTTTTAATTTAAAACACACCCTGTATAATGTAATGTAAACAAAAAAAACATACATAGTGCTTTTTTAATATCCAATTATTGTTTTAACACTGCCTTTGTTAACTGATAGTTTAAGTTTTAATTATGATAAAAAAAAATCATCATATTATATTAAATCATACACCCCAGTCAAAATGATTTTATTAAGAATTTGTTTTTTAAAAATGATGTAATGTTTTACGTAGTCTTCAAAATTTGTGCAGCTTGTTCTGATTATAAAAGAAATTTCTAATTTGGTTATTAAATTTAAAATTTTTATGATTGTGTGTGTCTGTGTCAAACCCTGTTTTAAATAATTAAAGTTGTAATTTGTTTATTTGTTTCTGAATTGTTGTGCAAATTGAAGAGAAAGAAAAATATGTGTGAATTTTAAATTAGAAAAAGTCATTCCAATGAGCATTTGATGAAACATTAATATGTAAATGATTCGACTGATTTTTTAATAAATTATGATGACACTTATTGAATAACAGTATGCATGCATTCAACAATATCAGATTCTATCAACAGGGTGATTCCCCTCAAATATGGTGATTGTCGAAAATGTTAAAATGTTGTTAAATTTACTTCACTTTAATTCATAAACGTTTGAGTAAAGCATCTGAGATAATATTATTTATTAACCCTTTGAGCGCGAACCGTCGTTAGATCGATTCTTTATTAATTTCTAATAGTCGTATAAAGTGCCGAGCGTCGGAATACCGATTATTTGCGCAGTTTGATGCACAGATATTTGGTATCAAATTGTACGGACATGTACATTATCTTGTCTTAGCCAATGATTTAACATATTTTTAAGCAGTTAACAAGGTTTATAAATAACCATCTAAAATGATTTTGCTGTGAAATTAGCACTGATTTTTTTTAAAAATAAATATAAGGCTATTTTTTCCAAAAAATATTAGTAGGTTCTGCAAAATATGTGAAAATAAGCTCAGCACTAAAAGGGTTAACATATATTGCGATCAATAAATTAAACACGCTTATATTAGCTTCATCTGTATCTATATATTTTTGTAATAATATTTCAAGGTAATTTTCACCAATTTCAAGTCCATATCACGGTTACCGATGACGACACAATATATTTATTATTTACCTAATATCCTGACCAAGATCACTAGATTATAAACATGTTTTTGAAATATTATTTTACATGTAATTTTTCTAACTTTTGGACCGATATTTTCTTTTACTCATGGTTATTTCTTTAAAGAAATGCTTTGAAATGTTTTTTTTTAACTTTACTATGGTTATCGCACGTATTCGTCACATTGGTTGCGAGTTAAATTTAGTTTAATCATTAAAATTTTAATTCTTGTTAACGAATTATAGAATATTTGAATTTTAGTATCGTTTATTTTACATCAAAGATTAAAAAAACAGGTGTGGCACTCGGGGACTGCCGCGGTAAAGCTATTGCATAGCATTTTTTATCAACTTATGCAATTATAATTAGACAAAGATAATTTAATATTAAAACAATAATAAAACAAGACCACGCTATATTAAACATTAATAAAAGCAAAACATTAACTGTCCCCTTCACACTTATAAGCTAGACCGCGCGAGAGAGAGATGGGCAGACTTTTCATGATGAGCATGCAGTGCGATGTCACGCCGCGCGCTTATTCACAAACACTACACAAGTGCAACGTGTGAATGTGTTGAACGCGAGCTACATGGTAGGCGGAGTGGGGTGTGTTAGGTTTTATTTTCGTTACGGAATTTCTTCATTCGGTCGCCGCGCTGAAAGCTGACGATAAAAGCTATGCAATAGTTTAAAAGTATAATAGTCGATAATTTATTTAATAAAGTATAATTATGATTTTTATTCTAAATATGTTAACAACTATTGGTGAATTGAGACTGCGTTTGTCTCTCGATGATAATTAGCTGAATTCTATTGAATTTCAAGTGGTATTTAAATAAACTTACCAATGCTGACTATACAGAATTGGAAGTTGAAGGTTTTTACTTTTAAAATTTCGAATAAAGATTGTTACCGGTTTGAGATCTAATATATGTATACAGAGTAGAGTAAATATACATTTAGAAGTTTCCTGAAAATGTTAAATTATGGTTACCATTTAAAACTGGAATTTCACAGAACGTTCAATAGTTCAATTTCCAAGTTCATAAGGTAGTTTTTACATATCAAAATGAATAGCTTTGTTAAAAAAAAGCTAATTCTCAGCTGGAAGTCGATTTTATCTAAAACAGTTAATTTCATGACCCATTAGAACTCGCATGCCACTGCTGGTATTATTTCAAGTTTTTAACCACTTCAGGGACGAACTATTTAACGTAGAAAAAAACTATTTAATTTATCCTTCATTCATTTTATGTTTATTTAAAATAATTCAATAAGTAAAAAAAAACATTACAAAATAGTCACTATTAATAACAAAAAATATGTTCACATATGCGTGGCTATTTAGCGTAAAATTTGCTATATAAATAGGTAGTTTAAAAAAGCATAGTTCGGACTGAATGTGGATAGTATGTGAGTTAACCAAATGGGATTATTTTCTTTCTATATGTACTGCCATTAATTAAAATCATAAACATTTTTGCACGATCTCCTAACGAACAAATGCAATGAACAAAACAAGTCATAATTTCAAAAACATTTTAAATATAAATAACATTATATTT